TCTTCATTCGGTCTAATCATTAGTCCGTGAGATAAACATGACCAGACGACTGGTAAATCAATGCACTGAACTGGAATGGTGTCATTTTAAGAACATGCTTGTTGTTTAATTTTGAACTTACCGACAGGAGGACTTTCCATAGCCGTTCCTGGTGAAATCCGAGGATACCAATTAGCACATCAAAGACATGGACGGTTACCATGGAAACAGTTATTTGAGCCAAGCATCAAACTTGCCAAAGAAGGATTCCCCATTAGTTGGGCTCTTGCAGATGCCATAGAGGAACGTAAGGAAGACATTGAGAAAGACCAGTCTTTGTGGTAAGATATAACAATGTGACTGTCAGCTGACAACTGCATATTGGGTGTTGGAGGTAATTGTAAATCCAGGCTGCTCATTGAAATTGTCTGTCTGATGAATATTTTGGAATGTAATTCAGAAGATCATTTTATATCAGCTTACACTGAATGAGTATACGTGCCATTCAGCCTCACCAATCCATGCTAGTGGCTGTACTTAAGTTGAGCCTACTCCTATCCTTCCTAATTTAAATATCAACAGAACCCTACATTGCATTCTCCAACATACTCTGATTGATCCACCACATAGAGGCACTCAGACAATTTGTCTCAAGCACTCTCAGTAAGAGCAGGTTCCACATTCTCACCATTCTCTCTAAGTACTGTTCTCACCGTATTCCTTTAATTTATTACACGGTAACTTGTCAAAGTTCTTTTGGAAATGTACATAAATTGTATCTACTGAATTCCCCTTGTCTACTCTCACTATAACCCCTTTCAAAGAATTCAATGAGGTTGGGACTGCAAAATTTTCACTTTTGAAACCTTTTGAAATATTGACACTTCATTATTGTATTTTCTGATAATAAGCATTTTTTTGTTTTGTCCTTTAGTAAGGATGACATTATTTTTCTTACTGCCATTGTTATTTGGTCTATATTTCCCTGAAGATGCACGATTTGCTTTTTTACATATCGCTCCAACACTAGTTACCAGCCAATCTTTAGGCACTGCATCTATTTGGAATGAATTATGAAAAATGTATAAAAATGCCCATCTAATGCTTTTTATTAGATTTTTTTACAATGCACAGATTCCAGACCAAGCATGGAATTTTTCACTGCCTTGAGTTGTGTGGGCAAGAGTGAGATTGTTGGGAAAATACAGAGAGAATGGAAAGATCAGATTCCCAACATAGAGAAAAATTATTTTGATATTCCCCTTAAGGTTTAAGTGGTATGCTCTGATTCTTACAAATGAATGGTAACTAACTTATCTCTGTGCATAATAGCTAATCTCACCTCATTTCTATGCAGATTCCAATTTTCCCCTCCTTTGAAAATGCGACGATGCTAGTTCCCGAAATGAAAGTCAAGATGGTTACCTGGCAGCACTACTTGGCACTTCTCTGGGTCTACGTCCGGCTCCACCGTCACCACCATTTCCCTGCATGGTCCATGGGCACAGTCTCTTACATCCTTCCTACACACAAGTGGGCATCACCAAACCACCAATCTCATCACATCACCAGGGCAGGGCCCTTTATGACTTGCATGCCTCTGCCAGATCACCTTGGTCGCAGGGACACCCATACATCTCGTGCATTCTGTCAAGTGATTCAGATGGCTTTGAGTACTCACTCTCACAGCTTCGAAGAGTGTGTGAAATGAACCCTGCTTCTAGTTTAACTTTAGAACAGTGTTGTTGAGGCTGTTACAAAGTCAGAACCCACAAACAGAGGGAGTGGGGAAATAATGCACTGTTTGATGAAGGGAAAACTTAATTCTCAATCTCTTTACAGACAAGTGGTGAGAATATGGAGAGAGATTTATTTGAAACTTGCAGTGTGTCTACAGTACTAAGGGTTAATTTGATCACTTTGTTACTAATGGCTATCTGTAATATACAATCGCCAGCTTGTCATGGCTATATTTTAAAATGCAGAATTCAAGGTAGTGACTAGAATAATTTTTAAATTATATTTACAACAATTTGATAATGCTTCTTGATTAGTAACTAAACACTGCCATTAGTTGGTGAGTATTTTTGAAATTTTGATTCCTCCTGCTTATATCTTCTCTTGGTCTCCTCCCTGCCCATTTCTACATTGCTTCTGAACCCTCTGCAATGCACTCTCAACTTTTCTATACTGTGATACCCACAACTATACACAATACTCCAGCTGATGTCTAACAAGTGTCTTGTACAAGTTCAGCATCACCTCATTGCCCTTGTGCTTTATAACCCATACTGTGTGCTTTATTAACTACTGTTTTCAAGAATTCTACCACATTCGATGATCTGTTCGCATACATACCCATGTCCCTCTGCCCCTGCAGAGTTGTGCTTTCTATTTTATATTGTCTTTCAGTGTTCTTCCTGCCAAAGCACATCACCTGCACACTTCTCTGCATTGACCCTCGTCTGCCACCGATGTACCCACTCCACCAACTTGTCAATGTCCTTTAAGAGTTCCATGCTGTCCGATTATAATTCTTTCAATGTTGTGTCATCTGAAAACTTGGCAGTTGTCCCATGCTCACCAACATCCAGATCATTCATGTATATATCATGAAAAGCAAGGGTCCCAATTCCGACCCCCGTGATCTTCGCTACAAATCCGTCCTCAAAATATCCATTGGCCATTATTCTGTTTTCCATCACTCTGCCAATTTTACATCCACATTGCTTCTGTCCCTTTTATACCATGACTAATAATTTTCCACAAGGCTGTTGTGGCACTGTAATAAACTTCTCAAAATCTATGTATTCCATTTCAACAGCATCACCCTCATCAGGTTTTTCTGTTACCACTTCAAAAAAACAACCCAGCCAATTAGTTAAACATAATTTCCCCTTTAGAAAGCTTTGCTGACTCCTCCTACCCAACCAACCTATCTCCATGTGACTTCTAATTCTATCCTGAATAATTGCTTCTAGAAGTTTCCCCACCAGCAAAGTTAAATTAGCTCAACTGTAATTGCTGGGATTATCCTTGCCAGCTTTCTTGAACAAGATTGTTATGTTTGCAATTCTCCAATTTTTTGGAACCTACTCAGAGTCCAGGGAAGACTGAAAAATTATGGCCAGTACTCCCTCAATTTCTACTCTCCCTTTCATCAAAATACTTGGATGCAGCTCATTCAGTCCCAGTTTCTTGTAAACGTTTAGTACTAACAATTTATCCAAGGCTTCATCCTTATCAATTTTGACCCCTTCAAAGTTTTCATCTCTGTCACATTGGCCTGGGCAGTATTCTTCTCCTTTGTAAAAACAGATGCAAAGTATTCAGTTAACACCTCAGCCTGACCCCTGTCTTCATGTTTAAATCCCCTTTTTGGTCTCTATCCCTTTTCTAACCACTCTCTTATATTTGTATGCCTATAGAAGACTTTGGGATCTCCCTTTATGTTAACTGCTGGTCTTTTCTCATAGTTCCTCTTTGTTTCACACATTTACCTTTTCACCTTCCCTGTAAACCTTTTGATATTCCTGTTGAATTTCAATTATATTTCCTGCCTAGCACTTTGCACTTTTTCTTTCTAATGTTAATATCTACCTCCTTTGTTTGTTTGTCCTACCTTTTCCATTGGAGGGAATATACCTCATCTACAGCCAGACCATCTGCTCTTTGGAGATGGCCCATTATTCAGTTACTGTTTTTACCACCAACATCTTATTCCAATGAATCCTGCTCAGCACTGTACCTGCCTATTAAATTCAATTCTCTGTTAATTGATTTTTCTTACTTCGGATTGTTGCATGTCATTCTCCAACACCATTCTAAACTTTATCAGAGATAGTAGGAACTGTCAATGCTGGAGAATCTGAGATAACAAGGTGTAGAGCTGGAAGAACACAGCAGGCCAAGCAGTATCAGAGGAGCAGGAAAGCTGATGTTTCGGGTCTGGACCCTTCTTCAGAAATTCTAAACTTTATGATGCAATGATCACTGTCTCCTAAAAGTTCCTCCACTAACACTTGATCCACATGGCCCACATCATTTCCAAGGACCAGGTCCACAGTGCAACCTTCCTTGTTTAATTTAGATAAATGTAAGGCGTTGCATCTTGGTAAGGCAAATCAGGGCAGGACTTATACACTTAATGGTAGGATCCTGGGGAGTTTTGCCAAGCAAAGGGACCTTGGAGCGTGGGAACATAGTTCCTTGAAGGTGGAATTGTAGGTAGACAGGAGCGTGAAGAAGGCATTTGGTACACTTGCCTTTATTGGTCAATGCACTGAGTATATGAGTTGGAATGTCATGTTGCAGCTGTAGAGGACATTGGTTAGGCCACTTTTGGAATACTGTATTCAATTCTCCTCTCCCTGATATAGGAACGATGTTGTTAAACTTGAAAGGGTGTGGAAAAGATTTACAAGGCTGTTGCTGGGATTGGAGGGTTTGAGCTATAGGAAGAGACTGAATAGGCTGGGGCTATTTTCTCTGGAGCATCAGGGGCTGAGGAGTGACCTTATCAAGGTTTATTAAATCATGAGGGGCATGGATCGAGTGAATAGTCAAGAACTTTTTTCCCAGGGTAAGGAAGTCCAAAACTAGAGGGGCATAGGTTTCAGGTGACAGGGCAAAATATAAAAGGGATCTAAGGGACAACATTTTCATGCAGAGGGTAGTGCATGTATGGAATGAGCTGCCAGAAGAAGTAGTGGAGGCTGGTACAATTACAACATTTAAAAGGCATCTGGATGGGTATATGAATAGGAAGGGCTTAGAGGGATATGGGCCAATTGCTGGCAAATGGGACTAGATTAATTTAGGATATCTGGCTGGCATTAATGAGTTGGACCGAAATTGGACCCTTGCTATTGCCCCAGGCAGTACAGAAATTAGTCGGTGGCAATTCCCCACATTGTTATGACACAAAGCCAAATCAAATCAGCCTCCCTATCCCTGTATTCACAACACAGTGAAATCAAAATACTCAATGATGTTCAAAATCCACCCAAATGTTTCTAACCAGACTTTATGAATAACCAGTGCCAGACTTTGTGAATAACTGATACAAGACATCAGGCTTATAACTTAAACAAAAGATTTACCAATTTATCAATAACACATTAACTTTTAGGAGACAGTGATCATTGCATCATAAGGTTTAGAATAGTGTTGGAGAATGACATGCAACACTCCAAAGTAAGAGAAGTCAATTTACAGAGAATTGAATTTAATAGGCAGGTACAGTGCTGTGCAGGATTGATTGGAATAAGATGTTGGTGGTAAAAACCGAAGGGTCTGTTTCCGTGTTATACAACTCCATGACTAGATATACACTGCTGTACGAAACTTTCCCGAACACAATCTAAGAACACTTTCCCTCACTACCACTTGCACTAACCAGTATCCCAGTCTGTATTTGAATAATTAAAGTCTCCATTAGAATGCTGTGATTTTGGCATTTCTTTTTAATTTCCTTGCAGATTTGTCCTCTACATCCTTTCCACTAGTTGGTGGTCTATAAACTACACTGGGCAATGTAATTATATTCTTTTTATCTCTTGAATTGACTCCATCCTTAAATCTTCTGAGACATCCTCTTTCTCCAGCACTGCAATACTCTTCTTAACTAATCCTGCCGTCTCTCCTTCTTTCCATACTTTTCCATCTTTCCAGAACAACATATGCTAGGGATATTTAACACCCAGTCTGCCCTTCCTTGAGCCAGGTCTCGTTATTACCACAACATCATAATTCCACATTGCAATCTGCATCTGTAACTCCCCAAATTTATTTACTATAGTGCATGCACTCTCATACACTAAAAGGGAAGGCAAGAGAGGAGTTCTGAATGGGGTGGCAAACGCAAAAAGGCAAAGCAAAACAAAAGAACAAAGTACTCTGAGGTGCATCCAGTTCCAATGTATGAGATGGGTGCTTGCCATTGTATGTAAAGCAGCCTCGCAGCAGCATTACAATGAAAAATGTTGACGTGCACTAAAGGGTAGCAATATAGGAAACTGCATCATAAGTGAGTCAAAAGTGTGCCGTGATGATGCGGTGAAGCTGATACATGTCCAATTCCAACCTTCTTGGATGAGGAGGTGTGATGGAAGTGGTCAGTACCCATGGAGGATGTCCAGAGAATGATAGGCACTGTTGGTCAAGATGGAGCTATTGTGAGTGAATTGGAGCACCAGCTATCTGCTCTGACTTAGGTTAGAACCCTCACTGACCTTTCATTATTTTTTATTTTTGTCATTTTTGGTTTGGAGCTGTGAACTGTTGAGAGTTAGAGTTGAAGGTGACTGTTAGACTGCGAGCAGAAGCTTCTTTCTAAGAAAAACAGAGGAAAACAAAAAAACTAATATTTATCTATGGGACTAGGACTGGAAGTTGATTTTTGTCAAAAGTGCTTTATAGACATTTCGAGTCCAGAGAGGTCTTATGTTTAAACATCTGCCATCTTGTTTTTGAATATTAACAGGAGCCTCATAGGATGTCTATCAACCTAACAAAGAGAAACCAAAGTTTGTGCCTGTGAGGTCTGATTGCTCCCTAGTTGTTCTCTCAATATCAACTTACTGAAATTTTGGACAATAGAATCTCAATGGAGAATTAAATGAATATTCCTCTGTGTACTGGAAGCTATTTGCTTGCATCAGAGTCTTCAGAAACCAAGCAAGATACAATTCGCTGTGCCTGTGATGTTATGTGTTTGAGCATCATTGAGTATTTTGATTTCACTGTGTTGTGAATACAGGGATAGGGAGGCTGATTTGATTTAATAACAATGTGGGGATTTGTCACTGTCTAGTTTCTGCACTGCCTGGGGCAATAGCAAATTGCACAAAAAATGGCTGTCTTGATTTTCACATCATCATTAATACTTTGGGTAGAAAATCTGATTTTTCTTTCTCAACATCAACAATCTCATTCTTCCAATCTTGCTCTATTTTCTAACTGGACTCATCATTGCTCATGTCATTCAGGGGCTGGAAATATTTTCCCCAGTTAGTCCGCATACACGTCTGGAAGAGAAGCAGTATTTGGTTCCTTTTTATTATGATGTGAAACAAGCACATTATCAAGATCACAGTTATAATAGGGCTAATTGTCTGTCTCTCAACAGTGAAATATTTTGCAATTCCAATGGCAAAATACTCCAGGAAAATGAAATTATCAAATTTCCAAGATTAGCTGCAACTTATCAGATTCTGGCAGATGAAGGAGCTGATGCATTTTACAACGGATCTCTCTCCCAACAGATAGTGACTGATATCAGGAATGCAGGTGGGGAAGGCTCTTTAAATTTGTTGATTGAATTTGAACATCATTGGGGAGGGCATATTTATTGTCCAAATCTGATCAGCCAGCTTCTTGAACTATAACCATTGTTATATTAATAGTGATATTGAGGAGGTGCTGGCCTAGTGGTATTATTGCTGGCCTGTTAATCCAGAGACCCAGATAATGTTCTGGGGATCTGGGTTCAAACCCTGCCATGGCAGATGGTGGAATTTGAAGTCAATAAATATCTGGAACTAAGAGTCAAATGATGACCATAAATCTATTGCTGATTGTTGAAAAACCCATCTGGTTCACTAATGCCCTTTAGGGAAGGAAACTGCCATCCTTACCTGGTTTGGCCTACATGTGACTCCAGACCCACTGTAATGTGGTTGACTTGTAACCACCCTCTGGGCAATTAGGGATGGTCAATGAATACCATCGCAGCCAGGGGATAAAAAAATTAGCTAAGGTATACCAGCATTTTGACACTGCAGCCATTAAGGCAAGCTGATATATTTCCAAGTCAAGACTGTGCTTGACCAGGAGGGGGAGATTTCAGATAACGGTGTTCCTGTGTGCCTGCTCCTCTTGTTCTTAAACATGGTGGAGTCTTGGATTTCACATTAATTGTCAATAAAGCCTTGGCGAGTTGTTGTATTGCGTCTTGGAGATGGTACTTACAGTGCGTGTTGTGCTAGTGGTGGAGGGGAGTGCTAATCCTGCTGCTTTCTTTGTCCTGAATAGTGCTGAATTTCTTGAGTGTTGTTAGAGCTGTACTCATTGAGGCAAGTATTCCATGCCACTCTTGATGGATGGATTTTAGTGTGGACGTTGGGATGATTGGCTTCCAATGACGATAAACACTTTTTCTTTTTGGAATAGGTCCAATTAGTGAAGGGCGGCACGGTGGCTCAGTGGTTATCACTGCTGCCTCACAGCGCCAGAGACCTGGGTTTGATTCCACCCTCAGGCGACTGTCTGTGTGGAATTTGCACAATCTCCCCGTGCCTGTGTGGGTTTCCTCTGGATGCTCCGGTTTCCTCCCATAGTCCAAAGATATGCAGGTTAGGTGGACTGGCCATGCTAAGTTGCCCGTAGTGTTCAGGGGTGTGTAGATTAGGTGGGTTATAGGGGGATGGGTCTGGGTCAGATGCTCCAAGGGTTGGTGTGGACTTGTTGGGCTGAAGGGCCTGTTTCCACACTGTAGGGATTCTAGGATTCTAGTGAAGGGTTATCTGATCCCCATTAACTTCACTTGTACTCAGGCTCTTTAATGTGGTTCGCGACTGGAAGGTGTTGTGTTTGTCGCGAACTGAGCGCAGGTGCTCTACAAAACACTCTCTGAGCCTCTGCTTGCTCTCACCAATGTAGAGGAAGCCACATCGGGAACAGCGGATACAATAGACCACATTAGCGGATGTGCAGGTGAACATCTGTTTGATGTGGAAGGTCTTCTTGGTGCCTGGGATGGAGGTGAGGGGGGAGGTGTAGGGGCAGGTGTAGCACTTCCTGCGGTTGTAGGGAAAGGTGCCGGGGGTGGTGGGACTAGTGGAAAGTGTGGAGCGGACGAGGGAGTCACGGAGAGAGCGGTCCCTACGGATGGCAGATAGGGTTGGGGAGGGAAATATATCTTTGGTTGTGGGGTCGGATTGCAGGTAGTGGAAGTGGCGGAGAATGATACGTTGAATCTGGAGGTTAGTGGATGTCTTGGTTCCAGAATGGAAGCACATCACTGTCTCCATGGAGCAGGTTGCGGTTGCTGTGAACAGCCAGTTCCAGTAGAACACTCAGTACCTGCTAGATAGGTGCAGCAACCTTCACTCCATCACTTTAGTCATTGGTGCATTCTACCACTGGATAGACAGGAGGGTCTGGGAGGCCTTGATCTTCCTCCAGGTGCATCATCCACTCAAGGGTTAGTGAGGTGCCATTTAGAGGGAGGAGGAGCAGCATACAGGCACCTAGGGATTTTACTCATGTGGTGGGCAGGTACACCACCTCCCCTCTGCTAGGGACTCATGGGCCTCAGATCAGGCTGGAGCCCTGGGCTACCAGAGGAAGGCTACTAAAGTCATCTGTTGCATGATGGTGAAGCAGTCAGCAGGCTGCCCTGAACTCATCATGGGCTGTCGAGATGGCACTAAGGCACAGCAGTAGAGTGTTCCTGGGACCCTGCTCCAAATCCTACCACAGCAGATGGTAGAATTTTAATTCAATAAAAATCTGGAATTAAGTGTGCAGTGATGACCATTATTAATTATCAGAAAAACCCATCTGGCCCACTAATGTCCTTTTAAGGAAGGAAATCTGCCATTTTAACCTGGTCTGGCCTACTTGTGACTCCAGACCCATAGCAATGTTGCTGACTCTTAACTGTCCTCTGGGCAAGTTGGGATGGGCAACAAATGCTGGCCTATCCACCTCTGCCGACATCCAATGAATAAAAAAGTGCATTTAAGTCATTCTGAGTGCAGAGGTGTTAACTTTCTGTACAGCTCAACGCTTGAAGTAAATACAGCACTTTACATGAAATTCCTGTGCATTATTTCAATCTGTTAAGACTTCTGACTGGTCCTGTTTTCCATGTAGATAACCCTGAGGAGGGTGATACTCTCGATACACACACAAACAACATGTGCAGCCATCCTCTGGGAGGAACAACACCCACTGAAAAGTGAAATGTTAAGCTACACAGTTTGGCTTTGGCAGCCATTCAGTATAGTTCGGCCACACTACTTCTCAGTGATAGATGGATGCTCCCTACAAATGCAGCGTTTAAGTTTTATATAAACATGGTATTTCCACCATTTACATCATATTCTTTCTGCCAAAGTACATTCACCCACATTATATTCCATCTGCCAAATTTTTGTCCCCTCCCCTAACCTGTCTAAATCACTCTGTGGATTCACTATTTGCCTTCCCGCCTATTTTTGTGTCATCTACACACTTGATAGCAAACTTTAATTCCCTCAGCCAAGGTATTATATTGTGAATAAGCAATTATCCAGTAATTACAGTTTGTGTGCTGAAAATGTTCCTTTCATCCTTACTCTCTGTCATCTATTAGTCAGCCAATTCTCTGGCCTTAGAATCATAGAATCCCTACAGTGCAGCTAGAGGCTATTCAGCCCATCTGAAGATTACTCCCAATGCATAAACTATCTTCGTAACTACTTCCTGTAGTATCCCAAGACCTGATAGATTCGTTCTATTAGGCCTTGCGGAGTTACTGATCTTTAGCCCCATTAGTTTCCTTCCTAATTTTCTAGTGATAGATATTGTTTTGAATGATATTATGTTTAGAATGCTATTAGTGTCTTCATTCATGAAGACTGATGCAAAAAAAACTATTCAACCCCTCCGTTATTTCCTGATTCCCATTATTATTTCTCCAGTCTCATTCTCTAAGGGACCTATATTTCACTTTGACATTTCTGTTCCTTATATATTTAAGGAAATGCTTACTGTACATTTTTGTGCATTTGCTAGTTTACCCTCATTTTATTTTCTGCCCCTTTATTATTTTCAAGGTTGTTTCTTGTTGGTTTATCAAACTTTCCCAATCTTCTGATTTGCCAACTAATCCTCGTCACATTGGATAATTTTTCTTTCAATTTGATACTGTCTTTAACTTGATTGGTCAACCATGATCAATTTCATCCTTTTCCTAGAATTCTTCTCCCTCACTGGAATATATCTTTGTTGTGAATTATGAACTATTTTCTTAAACATCTGACGTTGTTCCTCAAACGTCTCACCTACTAAACTCCTTTCCTGGTCCACTCCAGCTAACTCTGTCATCATTCTTTTGTAACTACCTTTCATTTAAGTTCAGCACGGTTGTTTCCAACCTGTATTTCTCGCTGTCAAACTGAATCCTATACATGCTATGGTCACTTTTTCCTAGGCAATCTTTTACTCTGTGATCATTTATTAAACTTGCCTCACTACACATGACCTGATCTAAAATAATCTGATCCCTGTTTGGATCCACAACATATTGATCTAGGAAACTGCCCCAAATATACACTATGAATTTTTCCTCATGGGTCCCTCGGCCAGTTTGATTTTCCCAATCAAAGTGAAGATTAAAGTCTCCATGATTCATTTCCTATCTTTTTAACATGCTCTGATAATTTCTAGGCTTGTTCTCCATCCTGCGCTACACCTACTGTTGAGGGACCCTGTAGTTTCAACAGGATGGCACCTCATTTTTGGTTTGCCTAATGCTGCTTCTGGCATACCCTCCTGCACTTTGCAGTGAACCAGGATTGATTCCCTGGCTTGATAGTAATGGCAGAGTGAGGATGATGCCAGGCCATGAGATCAGAATAACAGTTTAATATCCCACAACTCTCACAACTGATTATGCTACACCTCTTCGCATAACATTCTGTGCTGTCCAACAGCAAGATATTCAACTTGCAGTTGCTCAGCACATTTAAAATTAGTATTAGCATTTCTTCTGGAATACACCCTTTCCATTAACAGGAGTCCTGGTACAATAATCCAGTATTTCTGCTATTGCCACAATCTGTACTGTTCAATTATTAGGTACATCACAGAATTAGCCTAATTTATCTTTGCACAGAAACAACAATGATAACTAATCCTTGTTATTAAGAGGCTACGTATGAGGAAAACCACGATATATCAAATTCTATAATCTGGAGATGTCCTAATTAAGATATGAAATAGTATGGACAATATAAACAGACTACTGTTTCATGGTAATTTGGAACATACATGAAGGGAGTCCAAGCCAAAACCAGTGGTAAATAATCAAAACATATTTGGAAAAAGCTCATCATTTGGAAAGAAAACAACGTTGGAAAAACCTGCCAAATATCTTTGTGATAAAAGCGTTAGAGATGTTCAAAATGTGGTTTGATATTAAGGCAAATAATTTGTGATGCTAGAGCAATTGGAATCATGGGCTAAGTGGCCTTTTCTCATCTTGAATTTTTCTCTAATTTTGATGAGTACCATTGGTTTGAATTGAGACATGTTATCTCTTAATAATTCTCAGCTGGAAACTAAAGTTTGAGGTTTTGAGTGAGAAATCTGACTAGTTGCCACCAGAGGATTTCTACCACCTAGAAAGACACCAGCAACAAATGAAAAGGAACACTATCACCACCAAATTTCACTCCAATTGCACATCATTTCATATTTGACATATTCCTGAATGGCTTGATTAAAACGCTGCATTGGGAATGGGAATTTGCTGCTGTTATAGCGATTGGCCAAATCTTTTGGTTGGAGACCAGATGTACATCTGAAGATGCGAGTTGGAACCCTATGAAGTCCTGAAACCAGAAACTAAGTGTGAATTACCTTGGAAACTCAAATCTCTGATCTATGTGTTCCAAATGCACCGACCCCTCTGTGAATACTTTCAATTCTGTATTAGAGCTGGACAATTGGACCATTTCCACAGTATTTACTGATTAGTTACCTGGAAGATGTTGGATAGATTAAAACCTTTTGTCTACTTGGATAACTCCACACTGGAAACCACTCCCATCATGTCCTTGAGTCTCCACCACCACCTGACTATCCACATTGCCTGACTAGCCACGTTACCCGACCAGCCCCTTACCCAACTCAATTATCCCACACAATCTAACTGTAAACCTGCAGAATAATCTCCTGATGACTTGGCTAATCCCTACACCAACCTCACTCCAATTACCCAACTAGTCCAGCCACCAGACCTGATCCAGTGACCAATACAACTTCTCAACTACCCCCAACTTGATCCAACTATCCCATAACCACAAGGCTAATCCCCAACAAGATCTGACTACCTCCTAATGACTCGAATAGCCCCTGTCCACCCAACACTCTGATCTGATAGGCAATTCAGCCAACACCTACCATCTCACTGAACTACCCCTCAACATGTCACGCACCTATACATTCACCCACTTTCTAACTCAACTGTTATAGGGAGGATATTATTAAGCTAGAGAGGGTTCAGAAGAGATTTACCAGAATGTTGTGAGGTATGGAAGGTTTGGGTTGCAAAGAAAGGCTGGACAGAGCATAGAACATAGAATTTTTTTCACCAGAGCATAGGAGGTAGAGAGGCGACCTTATAGAAGTTTATAAAATTACGAAGGGTACAGATGGGGTTAATAGGCGTCTTTTCCCTCCAGGGCATATTTTTAAGGTGAGAGGAGAGTGATTTAAGAAATACATAAAGGGTGATTTTTTTTGCACAGAGGGTGGTTCGTGTGTGGAAAGAACTTCCAAAGGAAGTGGTGGATGTAATCACAGTTATAACATTTAGAAGAAATTAGATAAGTACATGAATAAGAAATGTTTGGAGGGATATGGGCCAGGAGCAGGCTGGTAGGATTAGTTTAGTTTGGGATTATATTTGGCATGGACTTGTTGGACCGAGGGTCTGTTTCCGTGCTGTATGACTATTCTATCCACACATCCACCACCACTCACCCACCTATCTGCTCATCCACCCTACTCTCCTATACATACTTAATGCACCAATCCACTCCTCTATTCACTAACATTCAAAGATTGGACCTTTAAACTCAGCAGACAGCAGCTGAAGATCTAAAGAAGTAATGATGTAAAGTGTGTTAAGTGACCTGCCTTCTCCTGATTGTACTTCCCTCCAACAGAGTACCCTGAGTGACACTGGTAATAGCTAAGACCGGCAGACCCTGAAAGGAACATGCAATAGGGTAGTGTCAAATCAGGGAAATCTTCAAGCTCATTATTGCTGCTGCTCAAAATATCCAGGCTTGTGAGCTCAATTCCACTCTGCTGTGTGGTTGAAATATATTTGGCATTATTATGTTAAATTTCTTTTTCTCCTCTCCAGGTGGAATTATAACTCTTGAGGACCTGAGAGATTACAGAGCTCAATTATCTGAAGATGTGGTAAACATGTCAATTGGTGATTACACATTGTTTGTGCCCAGTGCTCCTTCCAGTGGACTTGTGCTCACATTAATACTGAACATCCTAAAGGGTGAGATATCAGAGCAGTGACACTTGGTCAGTGATGTCAGAAACAACAATAGAATGTTTGAGGAGAAAACTACCCATCATCCAAATTCTTTCAACAATCCATAAGACCATAAGACATAGGAAAAGAAATAGGCCATTCAGCCCATTGAGTCCACTCCACCATTCAATGAGACCATGGCTGATCTGATCATTCTCAAGTCCAGTTTCATGCCTATTTCCCACAACTCTTGATTTCCTTTCTAATTACAAATCTATCTCAGCCCTGAACATAGCCACCAACCCAGCCTCTACATTAAAGAATTCCACAGATTCACTACCCTCAGAGAATAAATTCCTCCTCAGCTCTGTTTTAAATGATGACCCCTTATTCTGAGATTCTGGTCCTAGACTCTCCCACAAGGGGAAACAACCCTTCTGCATTGTTCCTTTCAAGTCCCCTAAGAATCTTGTATGTTTCAATAAGGTCACCTCTCAGTCTTCTAAACTCCAAAGAGTACAGGCCCAACCTACTCAGCCTTCTCCCAGGAGGCAGTCTTTCAATAAACAGGATCAGCCTAGTGAACCTTCAATGTTTTAACAAAGATCTGTTGCTCAGGTTGTGGTTGGAGTTGACGGTTGATTCACCGAGCTGACTGGTTTTCATGCAAACATTTCGTCTCCCTTATAGGTGACACTGTCAGTGCTGTTTAGCCTCCGTTGAAGCGCTGTTGTTCTATCTTGCTCTGAATTTATATAGTCAGGTCTGTCATGGTGGGCTGTCTTGTTTCCAGTTTTGTACCGTAGTGGTATGTAGATAGGGTCTATTTCAACATGTTTGTTAATTGCATCGGTGGTTGAAAACGAGGCCTCCAGGAATTCTTGTGCTTGTCTTTGTTTTGCTTGTCCTAGTGCTGTAACTTTGTCCCAGTTAAATTCTGTGTCGGAGTGTACTGAAACGAGGGAGAGTTGGTCGTACCATTTTTGCCGCGAGTTGGTGTTCATGTATTCTGGTGGCGAGCTTCCTGCCTGTCTGTCCTATGCATTGCTTCTCGCAGTTGCTGCAGCGTATTTTATATATCACATTTGTCTTGCTCATTGTGGGTATGGGGTCTTTCATCTTTGAGAGTAACTGGTGAAGTGTAGCTGTTGGTTTGTGTGAGATGGACCCCAACTACAAACCACTATGGTAGAAAACCAGAAACAAGACTGTCCGCCATGACAGACTGGAACATAGAGATTCAGAGCGGGACAGAACAACAGCAGTCAATAGAGGCTACACAGCACTGATGATGTCACCCAGAAGGGAGATGAAATGTTTGCATGAAAACCAGTCAGCTCAACAAACCAACCAACAACTCTAGTGAACGTTCTCTACACTACCTGTATGCTAGTAAATCTTTCCTTAGATAAAGAGACCAAGCCTGTTCACAGTACTCCAGCTGCAGTCTAATGAGTGACTTTTATAGTTTTAGCAAGAATTTCTTATTTTTATTGTTATATTTCATTCCCTTTGAAATAATAGCAAATGGTCCATATGCTTCCCCTTTTACTTGCTTATCTTGTATGCTGGTTTTATATGATTTATGCATGACGGTTCTATTACATCCACTATTTCCCCTTTGTCTAAATTGCTTGTTACCACTTCAAGAATTCCAGTAAATTTGTCAGGCATGCTATTCCTTTGCGATTCTACTTGTTCATATGAAGTATTTCTAAATGCACTGCTACTATATTCAGTATAGTAGGCTCAAATATTTTCCCAATAGCAAACATTAATGCAACTGGGCTATAGTTACTTGTATTTTTGTCTCCTTCCCCTTTTCAAATAAAGGCAGCTGGCAGTTTTCCAATCCTATGGGACTTTTTCAGATCTAAGGAACCTTGGAAGATTCACTACCAATGAATATGTAGCTATGTCTTCCAGTATACTACGATACATCCTATCAGGTTAAAGTGAAAGTAAATCCAAAGTGAAAGTCAAGAAGAAAGTAAAAGTTTGCTGGTATTATAGAATCCACTGCAGAAAATTGTTTACCTAATGCTCTTGGATATGTTCAGCTGAAGGTTGCTGTTATTGCATTTATGTTATGTTCACACGTCCAACAGAGAATACACAGAAAGAGCAATCAAACAATATGCTCAAATCTTTCAATGTGCTGCACTCCTGCCCCACTTCCAACTACAATTTATATATTTAAATGTAAATGTACATAATTTCCCAGCATGCAATATGACAAACCAGACATCAACATTAATTGAAAAGTCTGACATCTCTGGTAACCCATAAATTGCAACCTAACTTTGAATAGTTTATATAGTTTTGACACTTGTTCTTTTTGGCATAGACTCTCAACATTTCTTCACTCGCTATAGGTATCAAACAAAACAAGGTGCTCTTTTCCTTCCAACTCAAAGGAGTTATCACATACTTACTCTCCCATATTGTTCTTTCTAATCCACCCAGTCGTGTACTTAATGTTTCCAAGTGTGCCTCAGACCGGCAAAATGTCAACTACACATTATCATTTACCTGGATTTCTGTCTTGTGATGCCTAATTTTATCATTTGGTTCTTTTTCAAAGGTAACTTGTGGTCTCTTCATACTTCCTCAATAATAGTCATATTCTTACTAATTTCTAACTTTAAATGCACTTTAATCTTTCTTCTTCCCTTCCTGGAGACTTTGGGGTGAATCTTATCAGGGTCTGAGCGACATAGGTTATGGCAAGATTTGTGGCAGGATTGGACAAGAAATCTGGCGAGGCTCATCTCGATGTTGACAAGCAGCAAGGTGAATTTCTCATGAAGCAGTACCAATTCAAAGAAAATTATTGCCTGTTAAATGCCTTGTTGAAGGCACAACTCGCCTCATTATCATTTCTATCTTACCAAATTCACCAAACAAACTTGACATCGAGAAAATTTGTCATCGGAAACCAGAGGGTACTCGATGAATTCAGCCCGCACTTCCTCAGAAAAACCAGGGTCCAAATGGACCAGCTGCATGCACCCCTCATTCACAGACCTAGGTGTCCAAGATCTGCTAACCCTTCATGACTGGCATAGCATCTGTCCCATATGCTGGCAGTGCGCTCTGGAAACTCGATCTTGCATTGCAAGGTGCACTGCCATCTAGCATTGAAATTCTAATGCGAGGAGTCTCTGTGTAGGGGGGAGGGACACCAAACTCACAGATTGCACCAGGCTCCATCTCAGGGCTATAAATCACTGAGATGGCAAGAACTGCAGATGCTGGAGTCAGAGATAATAAAGTGTGGAGCTGGAAGAACACAGCAGGCCAGGCAGCATCAGAGGAACAGGAAAGCTGAAGAAGGGTCCCGATCCAAAATGTCAACTTTCCTGCTCCTCTGATTGTTGCCTGGCCTGCTGTGTTCCTCCGGCTCCACACTGCGTTATCTCCATCTCAGGGCTGTTTGCTTGCACTTTTAGCACTCACTCACTTAGCATGTCCCTGCATGCTTGTAGCACCCATGCCTTGCCTTGCCATGCCAATGAGTGTACTCACAAGATGAATCAGTTTGCCTTGCCGCTCAGCAGTCCTCAATCAAGAAGAGTGTCTTATCTTGCCTTATCTCACACTGCATCACGTGCTAGCAGCTTCATGGTAGCATACCACACGGCACGCTGCAGCAGGGAGCTGCCAGGTCTCCAAAGTTTCAGGGAGTCGTCCTCACCAAAATCCATTGAGGCACCCATCAGTCAGGGGGTTTGGATACAGTGAGTCAACCAGTCCAGGGATTGACAATGGTCAGGCAACCCCTTGGGGTGATCTTGGTCAGGGGTCTGTGCCTCCGGGAATGAGTCAATTCAATTTGAAGGCGGCACGCTGGCTCAGTGGTTAGCACTGCTGCCTCACAGCACCAGGAACCCTGGTTCGATTCCACCCTCAGGTGACTGTCTGGGTGGAGTTTGCACATTCTCCCCGTGTCTGCATGGGTTTCCTCTAGGTGCTCCGGTTTCCTCCCACAGTCCAAAGATGTGCAGATTAGTTGGAGTGGCCATGCTAACTTCCCCGTAGTGTTCAGGAATGTGTAGATTTAGGTGGGTAATAGGGGGATGGGTCTGGGTGGGATGCTCTGAGGGTCGGTGAGACTTGTTGGGCCGAAGGGTCTGCTTGCACACTGTAGGGATTCTATGATCTATAAGCCCCATGGTCGATTCTGGAGGAGATGGTTAAGGGCCAGTGTGGATTGGGCGATATACAGCCAACAGCGAGGAGTCTGGGCACTTCTTCTTTGGGGCAGATTACCAGTGGAGCTGATTGGCCCTGGAGGTTTGAACAGCTGAGCTGGTGGTGCCAAGCAGGTCTTCTTGCCAGTTGGATGTGGAAGGGTCAGGAAGGGTGGGGAGGGGGTTTCTTGTAGTGCAAAGCAGGTTCTCTGTCTCCCTGTCGCCATGCTTTCAGTCCTGAGGACTAATGGCTGGATGATGAACTGCAGCGATAGGTCTCTGACGGCACCGGACCCATCTCTCCGCGGTAGCTGCCAACTTCTCCACCGGACGATCACATGATTCGCTGCATTGCTCCAACCTCTGAGGGCCATTCGTCCCTCACCCCTGCCTGCTGCTCCTGTCCCCCCCTGTGCAGTCTTTAATTTGAGAATGCCATCTGCAACAGTTTGACTTGGTAACTGCTTTCTTTGACAGAATGCAACTGTTAGTGCCACCTCATTCTCAGCTGTGCCATAATGACCTGGTGGCTTAGTGGTTAGCACTGCTGCCTCACAGTGCCAGTGACCCAGGTTCAATTCTACCCTCAGGCAACTGTATGTGTGGAGTTTGCATGTTCTCCCATTTCTGTGTGGGTTCCCTCCAGGTGCTCCAGTTTCTTCCCACAGTCCAAAGATGTGCGGGCTAGGTGGATTGGCCATGTTAAATTGCTGAGATGTGCAGATTAGGTAGATGAGCCATAGGAAATGCAGGGTTACAGGGATTGGGTGGGATGGTCTTCAGAGGGCCACTATGCACTTGACAGGCCAAATGGCCTGCTTTCACACTGTC